CCTTAAGTCAGTATATTCTGCTGGAAATGTTGGTCCAGACCTGGTCAGGTTTAGAGGAGGAAAGAAGAGGGAAATCAGGTGGCCCTACATCTCCTGGAGGGGAGTAGAATTGGCTTTAGGCTTGCTGAAGGGTTGTCAGATGCCAACTCAGTTATTTACAGTGGGGAATGCAAGATGCTGCCAAGAGGGAGTGAAATGGAAGCATTCAGGTGTAATGGATTAGCAAGGCAGAGGGGTGCTGAAGGGTTAAAGGGTTTTATAGAAGCACAGGAGAGACTAAAGGGATTGGAAAGCAAAAATCCAATTAGGAGATCTAAGAGGAAGAAGCCCAGCCCTGAAACAATAAAGATAATGGGTTTAGCTGCCAAAGGAAAGATGAGAACGGAGTGGGGAGAGCAGATTTGTGGCGGGGCCAAGAGGAAGGAAAAGTTGTTGCAAAATGATTGGTTTTTGAATTTAGAATTATTTGTCAAAGCAGAGTCATATTACAGCCTCACCTGCAGCAAAGTTCATCTCAGGACTCGAACTGTGCCATCAATCCTTGCTATTATAGCAGGCTGAATGTCCTCAAAGAAGTTTGAAGTTTGAGCCTATCACTCACTTAATCCTACACATTGTGCCATGAGAGAACTGACCTCAGCAAGATTTGTTTGCTTGCTATTCTATGTTATCTTGCCAATGCATTTTGTCCACGATCAAAGCAAAGGAAAGGAGCTGTGGGGCAGATGTCCTCTGCAGGCATCCCACATCCCTAAAGGCCCCTCTCTGCAGCCTCAAAGCCAAATGTAACAGAACACAGTGAGGGAGCGAGGAGCTGTCAAAGGTCTGGAACAGCTTCCCTACAAGTATGGGTTGTGCATGTCAGTATGGAAAAGACATGACCTACGACTGTGGAGTCATGCATGGCCTAGAGAAGGCTGGTGGGGATTGGCCTGCTTCTGTGACTGTCTTTCCAGTGCAAGAAGTGAGGTCAGCTTCAAGAGGACAGAGGACAGACCTGGGTTGCTCCTTGCTGAAGGACGCCTGCTATCTGCAGACATCTAGAGAGGTTCAAGGAAAGCTCGTGGGGCAACAGTCATCAGAGTTAATAAATAGAGACACATTGGGTTTAGGAGGAATTTGGGGCTGTGCTCTTAGTTTGTATTAGTGAGGAGTGGCGGGGAGCACTTGGGGCACATTCTGCCCAGGTGGACCTCAAACCTGGGAGAGATGAGAAATGAGAAGTATGGAGGAGGCAAGGTCCATGGATGAGAAATGCGTGGGAAATTATGGGCTGCCAAGCAATGTGCCCTTGGAAGCACCTACTGTTCTCTGAATGCTCTCCAAGACACTGGTTGGCCAGCCCTATGGGACTTCAGGAACTGCGACTGAAGGAACTGGGGCTGTTTAGTCTGGGGAAAAGGAAGCTGAGGGGAGACCTTATTGCTCTCTTCCTATACCTGAAAGGTGCTTACAGCGAGAGTGGGGTTGGTCTCTTCTCACTGCTGACAGGTGACAGGATGAGGGGAAATGAGCCCAAGTTGCGCCAGGGTAAGTTTAGGTTGGGTATCAGGAAACACTTCTTTACAGAAAGGGTTGTGAAGCACTGGAATAGGCTCCCCAGGGAGGTGGTTGAGTCACCATCCCTGGATGTGTTTAAAAACGGTTTGGATGTGGTGCTCAGGGACATGATTTAGCAGAAGGTTGTTAGTTAGGGTAGTTTGGTTAGGTTGTGGTTGGACTTGATGATCTTCAAGGTCTTTTCCAACCTGAGCAATTCTATGATTCTATGCTCTAACCCAGTACTGGAGTTTCTCTGTACTCAGCTAGGTCTCCATGTAGATCCCAGTCTATTCCTATTAGGTCCCTCAGGATCTGTCCTACGCAACCTGACACGGAGTGATTTCTCCCTGCAATGCACATCCTCAACCACTCATCTACATCAAAGAAATCATGCTGTGATTTCAATGGAGGGATAGCAAGCCAGGTGTGGGCTTTTCAGGCCTTTTGGGACCTCAGACTCCAACAAGAGGTATATGTCTATGCTTAGAGCCATGGAGCAGTTAAACCCACGTGTAGTCTGCATTTTGTGCCTGTTGGGAACCATGTACTCTTGGCCAAGAGCAAGCCTAACAGAGAGATCTTTTCAGGCTCTCAAAGCCAAAAACCACCAATACCCCTGTCTTGCATCTGGCTAGCTGATGATCACTTTAGAGAGCCTGGCCTCAATGCACAAACCCATGCAGAAGGTGGGATAAACCCATGACATCACTGTTGGGACAGCCTCTCCTCAGGATCTGCTTGTGGTTTAATAGCTTGGATGGTCCCATGACATCCTACAGCTATGATGCTCTGGGAGCTTTGCTGAGATGCACCCCATGTCACAGCTGAGATCCAGGCTCTTACAGCAAAAAGGAAAGGTCGTCACCTCAGCTAGAGCCTTGTTAGCACTCAGCATTGCACTGATTTAAATCTGTCAGAGTAATTAAAGTGGAACAACACCCCTGGAAAATGAAAGCAGTACCCTCTGCATTGGCATAACTTATTCTTCCATGAGGAAGAGAATAACGCATACGGGAGCCTAAAGGATGTGTTTATATCAAGAGCGCAGCCTGTAGAATAAAAATATTTCCCTTTCAAAGCACCTGTCACACGCCTGGCTGATGTTTGCACTAATGAAAGCGTTGTGTGCGCTCTTGAAAAATTAATCCAAAATAATTAAGAGGAAAAATTTAGATTAAATTAGTGGAACCACATGAAATCTTCTTGTACACACTCTCATTTGGAATAAATGCTCCTTTAATTCAGGTTAATTTATAATTCATAAAAAAGAATAATCCTTAATTAAATGGAAGGGAGCATTGTATTCCAAATGAGAACATCAGTGCAGCTCATGCCTGCTTTTATTGCAGTTGATGTGATGGCAGTGGAGCAGAGACATCTGAGAGCTGCACTGTCCACATCCCTCAGTGCCACATCTCCACTGTTCTTGAACACCTCCAGGCAGTGACACCATCACCACTCTTTAGGAGAAGAAATTTTTCATAATATGCAACCTGAGAAAAAGTTACCATTCAAAACAGCCTCAAGAAAGTGGAGAAATAATTTGCCAAATCACCCAGAACAGAATTGAGCAGAACTGAAGGTGGGGCGTGACGCTCTTGCTGGAAGAGCCGGTTGAATGCATAGAGGATGGAGAACAGCTGTTGAGCAAAGAAGTCCTATACAAATGGTGCTTTTGATCACAGTGTGTGACATGAGTCAATCATATCATGTTGGACCAAGTCAAAAGAGTTACTTGCAGATGTAACCCCCAAGGTGACCCCTCTCCATGTCCCCTTGCTCACCTCCTCCCACTGGCTCATAAAACTTCACCTCCTTGACCAGAGTGAGGAAGCAGCTGGGCTGGCTGCTGGTACCATGATGTGGCCCAGGTCCCACTGCTTCCATGTATCCCTTAGCCTTGTTTCTGCCTTTGGCTGCATTAGGTTTTTCCTGGAGCTCCCAGCCTGGACATGAGACTGCAAAATTCTTCCTTCCCTTCACACCAAAGGCGCAGACGATTACGATTTCATTTCTGACTCCTACTTATCCTGCCTCCGAGGGATCAGATTAATTGTGGCACACGATCAAAAAGATTGAAACTAGGAAACCAATAAGCAGCTCACTGCAGTCAGCCTGCTGCAAAGCTCAGCTGCAGATAAGCACTGCAATTTTGCTGCACATTACCCAGGGCTCGGCTCGGCACAGGACCAGAAGCCAACCCATGTGCTTGCAATGCAGCAAGTGCTCTGGCTGCCCTGCCTCAGTGACACCTCTGCTGGGAGAGCTTCATGGAGAGTCAAAGCGAAGTGTGAGACCCGTGAAAGTGAGCAGAGCTGTGAGGAAGCACGCCGTATGGTGAAGGGTTGTGGCTGAGCACTCGGATGCAGAAGGTACAGGATGTCCTCACATGCTACAGGTGAGCTTACATAAGACCCCGCACCTTCTCCCCCTCCAAGCACCAGCAATGGACTCCCAACCCCACTATCCCTTTTATGATGCTTCAGGGAGGGGCTGGTGCTCTCTGGATCCTGACCTTGCTGCTGCAAAGCCTCCCAGGTTCAGCCCAGGCTAGCACAAGACACAACCACCAGCCCAGTTTGCAGCTGTGATACTCACCACCAAGTAGCAACACACAAGTTTCCCAGCCCTGCTTTGCTCAGCTACGAAACAGCTGAACCCAGGGAGCTTTTCCAGTGCAACCCCTTTAGCACTGGTGCTGCTGCATGGATTCACCCTCAGCATCAGCTCTGAAGGATGGGGGAAAGCCCAGCTGTGATGATGGCATCTGCCACGCATGCCTGAGGCAGCAAAAGGTCTGGAGGGTGCCATGCATGGCACCCATCTGCTGCTTCAGGTTTGGACAGCTCAGGAGTCATGCCACCACTGGACACTTCCTTGTCCCTTGGGCAGCTCGCAGAGCTCTGATGCCCAGAGATGCCCATCCAGAGGCACTGCAGGACCGCATCCTGCCTGCTCCGTACCTCTCCATGGTAACAGATGGATGCTGCAGTCCCAGCCCCCTCGGCGCTGGCTGGGCGGGCGGGAGACAGATGGCAATGGAGAGGAATCAGGCCCAGATTCTCTGGAGTCAAAGAAATCGCAGGAATCCCTGATTGCCGGAGCCAAGATGCTGACCTGGCTCCGTGGGAGGGAGGGAAGGCGGAGGCGCGTGGCTCTGCCGAGCCTGGAATAGCAGAGCAGCTGTTGAGTTATCGCTTGTAATTATTACGGCATATGGGAGGTAAAGAATAGCTCCAAAGGGGAGAAAAACAAACAAGGAAAAGGCGGGATGCTGCAGGGCTGAGCTGGGGTCACGGGGCTCTTTTCTCCATCAGATCCAGTGGGAATTGGGGTGGGAGGGGTGGCACAGCGCAGGTGAACATCGTGTTCATTTCAAATATTTAATTCAAAAATTAAATTAAAAGCCTCTGAAGTACCAGTTGCCGGAGGCTGGATGAACATTTAGGGCAAGTTTTGATGGTTGCTCATCCTGTGCAACAGGTACGTATCAGCAGAGATAATGAGATAAGGAGACGTTATTCATCCTGGCTCACTGTTCCCTGGGCACCCGCTGATGGCTGTAACTGGACACAACACAGGGCCAGGGGTTGGGGTTACGGTGACAGGGTTGTTGTTAGGGTCTGCTCTGCAGGGAGCCAACATAGCAAGCACAGAGCCAACTCCTGCTCTCCCTGCCCAAAGCAGAATCTGCTCAAAGCAGGCAGCCAACATGAGGCTCCTGTAAGCCTTCTTCAGCCATCTGAGTGTGCTAATTGCTCACCCAGTGACTGTTTCCCTTCCCAGCTTCTGTCCTTAAGAGCAGCAGTGCAGCCAGCACGAAGTCTGCCCCAGCCAGCAGCAGAGTACTGCTTGCAGCAGGATGCAGGGTGATGGGAGCAGGACCCAATGCTGCTTGTGCCCATCATGACAGTGGCAGTTCTGTGGTTTTCTTTTAATGCTGGCTAGATCAGGACATTCTGGGTCTCTCACCCCAAATCAACCTGATCCTCATCCCGTGAATCACCCCGCAAATGAGGCTGTGGATGAGGCGCTGGAAATTCGAAAGACCATTCAAGCTCTGTGATCCAGAACATGAATAAATTCTATGTGGCAGGGAATGGCCCCAGTGCCCATTAAAAGCAACCAAGCAAATCCCACCGCCATCCTGGGATTCCTGCCGAGACACGTGCAGGGCTCAGAGAGCAAAGGAGCAGCTCTGCAGAATTACAGAATATCCCCAAATAGGAAGGAACCCCACAAAGATCACCGAGTTTGACTCCTGGCTCCACACAGGACCACCCAAAATTCAAACCATGTTTCTGAGAGTGTTGTCCAAATGCTGCCCCAGCAGGGCATCAACCACTGACACCTGAGAGAAGAGAGAAGCAGGCTGGCTGCAGAGCCAGCTGTGCTAAGAGAGAACTGCAGTGCCTTTGGGAAAGGTGGTTGTAGCATTCAGTGTGAATTAGCTGTAGCTGATCCCAAAGGACAGGTGCCTTCAGAGTGTTCTATTCTCCTGTAATTATCTCCTTGCAAAAATGTAATAATTGCAAGTGACAGAATGTATTAACCGATGGGATGGAGTTTTCTTAACAGGTACTATAAGGTGATGCACTGGCACAGGCTGCCCAGGGAGGTGGGGAAGTCACCGTCCTGGGGGTGTTCAAGAACAGTGGAGATGTGACAGTGGGTGACATGGTCTAGAGTGGTCACAGCCATAGGTTGATGGCTGCACTAGCTATCTTTCCAATGATTCTATAAGGCCTTTTGTCACAGTTCCTGCCTTCTCCACTCTCTCTAATTCCACCTCATTGAAGTTGCAAAAGAAGCCAAGAGCTGCGAGACCTTTGAACACCATCAGCACAAACAGAGGTGGTTTCTATGGTCCAGCACATGTATTGTCTGAATGTAAATAGCTGAGACCTCCCAGAATGTTCCCCCCCTTTCCTTATCTTCCTCTGCAAATCACACAGGTTGTCTCGGCTGCCAGCAGCTCCTTGTCCGAGAGCTATCTGCCCTGCTCACCTCTTCTCCCCTCAGGTCTGACACACTGGAAAGCCCTTATCATCGCCTGTGTGTTTATTCTGTTCAAACTGCAAACTAAAAAAAAGACAAGCTAACCATTCTTTGCAAAGTCTGCTTGATCTTAAGGTAAAGTTGTCACTTTTTCCATAGCAACAATGGCCTCTCCTTTGTTTTTCCATTCCGCTAATCTAATCCAAAGATCTGTGTTTGGATTCCAGCTCCCCCTGAACTGGTGCATAATCCAAAAAAATCAGTATTGTGCAACAGCAGTTGAATGGGGAACATAACACCTCTTTTTTTCTTCAAAACCACAAAGCTGTCAATAGATACAAGGAAAGAGATAGGGCGGTCTCTGGGCAACCTGTCATCCTGTCACCCTGGTGCTGAGCCCATAGCAGATTTGGCAGAGCTTGCATCTGTGACCTACAGCAAAAATAATCTCTTCAGGATGTGCTGGGATTGTGCATAGCACTGCTGGATGGGTTAGGGTGTTCTCTATGTCTTGTGCAGCACAGGTTTCCTATGAAAATAGCCCCAAAGAAATCAAGGCAGGTGACGCATGAAGACACAGGCTATGGGGCACTGCATGAGCCAGCACATGGGACACAGAAGGATGTGACAAAGGACAGGTTGAGCCCACTGCGTGATGAATGCCACCCAAGTGATCCAAACTTCCTTGCATTTGGTTTCCCAGTCATTTCACTTTTAAAACTTAACTTGTGAGACTCTCTTCTTCCCTCTAGTGTCCATTTCAAGATATTCATTCCTCCTGCTCACCAAATCCAGCAAAAACTGTGGGTTGCCTCGGTACAGGGGCATCCACACTTCTCCTCAGACAGGAGAACTGGCACTCTACTTTTTTCCTTACAGATGGAAAGTAGATGAACATCAGAAACTGAAGACCAAACTACACTACTTCTCAGACAGACCAAACAATTTGTTCAAGGGCCCCATAGAAAACCACCGTGGAGCAGAAAACTGTTCCCATTGCCTCTAGGGTGTGACTGAGGCTGTCACCACAAGGTTATCTATTGGTGGCACCACAACGTCACTTTCCAACTAGTTGCTCTTCTGGGACATAGAAGTGCCATATCCACACCCTCAGCTCCAGGAAGTTCTTCTGGCCTCCAGCCCTGCTGAGAAAAGCTGAGTGAAAAGCCTCTGGTAGGACAGAAGGCCACCAGCCTTCCAAAATGTCCTCCTATTGCAGCAGCCATCCCTCCAGAGATGTCCAGTGCTCCAAATACTGCTGGGAATAGCAAACACTAAAAGGAGACTCTCTTCCAGGCTGGCAAGGAGATGTACAAGATGGCATATTCCCTGCTCCTGTGTCCGTGCCATATGGGCTAATCTCAGAATCATGGCACAGACATGGAAGTGACACGAGGCTGGAGATCACCTGGTTCAACCCCCTGATGGGGAAAAATTGCTCGGCTTTCCAGGAGCAGCTGCTGTGTGTGTGGCACCAAGGGGCACCAGGGCACTGTGGAGCTGTCTTGATGGCTTCCTCCATCTGCCAAGCTCGTTTGCCATCAGACAGCTCAGTAATTACAGACAACAGCCTCTGCAGCCTTGTACAGCAGCTGAGCAGCCTCTTCTCATCTTGTCGCCAATTAATCACGTATGACAACTTGTGCATGGCAGCATCATCCTGTCAAAGTCCCCAGCTTAGGTACGACTTACACCTCAGAAAAAGAACGATTATTCCCTGCATTAACCAAACATCAGTCACTGACAGGGAACAGACCAGGCTGCACTGTGAGCCACCTCAAATCCCATTACACAACAGAGAGACTGGCACTACCCAAGCATGAGGCACTCAAGTCATCACCCCAGAAGCATCCATGCCTTACCAGGGATGCACTGCACACAGCACTGAGACCAAACACTTGGGCTCTGAACACAGTGCCTATCCAAGAAACTACCCTAGAAATTATCCTGGGCTGACCTGTAGTCTGTGTTTAAATGAAATGTGTATGTAAGACTTTCTTCCCTAAATGTCTCCTGGGTTTCCTCCTCCTTGGCAGCCGAAGACAGTATCTCCTCTTCATCTGGCAATGGAGATGAACGTGTTCCAAGTGCAAAGCAGCTCATTTCTACAAAGTGTTCAAATACAAGTGAGCATAGCAGCCACGAGCAATGTGTAAGAGCTGTGCTACGTACAAAGCTGTGATGAGGACACTGGACAGACTGGCATCCCTGTGACATTTTGCTTCCCCTGGAAGCAGTGACAGACAGCAGCGTGGCAGCCTAGCAGCCAGTGGAAACGTCCCTACCCCTGGCAGGGGTTGAAACTGGATGGGCTGTAAGGTCCCTTCCAACCCAAGCCACTCTATGATCAATAGGTAGAGCAGACACCTTGTCCTGATCTATAATTTAGCAATGTAAGGATAAATCCCTTTTTTCTGATCACACCTTCAAGCCTTCCCCCCACTGCAGCGATGCTCCTTGCCCCAAACATGCACAGAGCCAAGTAGTGCTCATTGACAGAAGAGCTCCCAGCCACTTCTGAGAGCAGTTTCCAAATCTGTACCCAGAGTTCTGCACCCGCATAACACGTGCAGCCCAGTCCAGCTGCCCCATTTTCAAGCACAAAAACCCACTTATGTTTTTTTTCTGCTCTCTTGAAACCAAAGTCGCAAACTGAGAAGGAGGCTCAGAATACCCAAAGAGTGTGCTCCTACCCATCACCCACTGTTACAGCCCTGCACAAGAAGAGCCCGATTGTTACCCTGCTGCAGACTGTTGCTGAAAACTGTGCCGCCACTTTCTTGGGTCAGGATCTTTTTGGCCATGGTCGTGGCCAGTGACACTGGCAGAGGGTCAATCTGAGGAGCCAGTTTAATGACGCAAGCATTGGTGTTGGGCAACATCTGCCTCATCCACAGTGTTTCATGGATCACACACCAAGTTGTTTTTGATGCTTTTTGATGGATAATTTTCTCTAGTGCCCACCAAAACTAGGCAAACTAGCTACCAGCTGCAGGCTATTTTGTAAGAGAAAGCAGGGCATCACAACAAGCTGAAGATTTTGGGTTTTCTCTGCCTTTCCATTCCTTTACTTTTAGCTGACTGGTAGAAAGAAGACATAAAACAATTAATTAACTTATCACATAATTACTGTGTCATCAAGGGATTTTAAAATATATATCTAACATGGTAACTGAAACTGTAAAAAATGTGATCATGCTCAGTTTAAGACTGCAACATCAATAAAGTCATAAGGCACAGCCACTGGGATCAGCACCTCAGTCTGCAGCCACTATAACCAGATCTTTTGAATCTTAACCAACTATAAAGCAAATGCCCCACGGTAAAACAAGAGATCATTTTCTTACTTCCCTTGCCTCATCTTAGCCTCTGCATTATTTAAAATGACTCAGACATATGATATGCAAACATGCTCAGGTCAGTGCTGCCTTGAACCCTTGGCTTTGTCCCTGAATGCTGAGTTCTGCAAAAGCCACACACAGCAGGGATGCTTGTAGGCCAGGCTGCTGAGCGTGAGGGGGAATGCTGCACGTCTCCCACTTCCTCCAGCCCACCCTGGAACCACCCTGCTGGTTTACTGCCACTGCCTCATCCACAGAGTGGGGCATGAGGCAGGAGAGAGGAAATACATTAAGAGTTGTTCTGCTTTAGTGCATGAAGGCTGCAAAAAATAACCACGTTGGCTGTCATAAGAGGTTGATTAGCTCTCCAGTTGATCAGCAGGTGCTCTTTAAAGAAAGTACTTCTGGACCAGCTGTAGCCTTAATTGAGGCAAATCATGGCATTTGTTTGAACTGCTCTACTTGCACAGTTCTGCTTTTATCTCGCAGAAGCAGCTGAAAGATGGCACTGATCCTCCAAGTGTCAGGACTGCACCCAGTGCGTGGAGATGACACGGTGTCAATGGGTCTGATACACACGGGCTATGAATGGGGACTCCTGCTTTGAGATGTTGATGAGACAGAGGGTCTGGCTGGTAGCTTCTGCAGCACTGCCCCAGCAGTTGGAGGGCAAATGGCTTTCAGCAGCCCAGCCCTCCCTGAGGGTCTCAGGGGTGAGAGGACAACCGGCTGGGGATGGCTGGTCACTCTGCAGGGACTCCTGTCCAGGTTGGGGCTGAAGAAAAGAGAAAAACACCACAGTGGCATTATACTCTGGATCTGGATACCTGCGTTCAAAGAAGAAATATTTTTCTAAGTGTTTTCTAACATGGGTTGATGAAAATCTCAAGGTAAAAAAGCCACAGTGGAATGTCAAGAATTCTGGGATTTACTCAAGGAGTCTCAAATAAGTACCACTAAAATTCTCTGCAACAGAGGATTTATGTGTCCAGAGAAACGAAGCCGTGAAGGGTCTGGAGCAACAAGCCTTATGGAAGAGGAGGCTCAGGAGAGGCCTTATCACTCTTACAATGATCTGAAAGGAGACTGTGGTGAGGTGGGGGTCAGCCTCTTCTCCTCAGTAACTACCAGAGGACGAGAGGGAATGGTCTCAAGTTGCACCAGGGGAGATTCAAGTTGGATATTAGGAAAAATTTCTTAGAAAGAACGGTGAAGCATTAAAAGAGGCTGCCCAGAAAGGAGGTGGAGTCACTGTGCCTGGAGCGTAGTGCCGGCTGTACACATACCTGGTGCCTGCTGATCCAACAGCTGCAGGTCCTGAGATAGGCCTCTGCCTGGCAGTGCTGCCATCGGGCTGGCACTGCCCTTGGGGGCTGAAGGGCAGAGACTCCTGTACTGCTGGCGCGCTGTGCAGGTTCAGCAGTGCAAGGCCCTTGCCCAGCAGCTGAGCTGAAGTCTCTTGAGTCACCCGTGCCTGGCACTGCTGGGGCTGCCTGCCCTCCTCTGGGCTGGTTAGCTTCAGGCACCTTGCCCTGTGCTTCCTCAGCTCCCGGGGTCTTGCTGCAAAACCCATCAGAGTTGCAGGTGAAGGGCTTTTTGGAGGATACGGAATTAGACAGTGGTTTTTGCTTTCCTGAGCATGTAGTGAATCTGAAACATGGGCAGAAACACAACAATTTATTGCTTCATTGTACTACACGTGCTAAATAACTGACCACCTTGTCCAACAGTCAACCCATCACCACCATGCCGACTACCACGGCTCCCTAACCTCCTGTCCCAAGGCAGGACTGAGCACACCTGCACCATTCCTGGCCAGTGCTCACCCTAACCTGTTTTAAGCACCCGAGTTCCCCATCCATCTCTCTGAAGTTCAATGCACAAAGATCACAGGTGAGTTTTTCTTAGCCCATGGAATCCTCAGGTGCAACACACACAAGAAAATTCATATTGGTGACTTACAGATATAACAAGCATGTGTACACGCTTCAAAAACATTCTATATATAGCAGGGATCCAGTTGCTTGTCTATTAAAAGACCCAACTGCACCTAACTGCCTGATGTGCAGAATCCATGGCAGGAACACTATCTAAAGAACGTGCCACCCAAACCTAGGCACAGAAAATTCGTGTTTATATCTCCTGATGCATTTTACTGTGCAGATAACCATATAAATTTTCCTACCACAGCATGTGCTTTAAAAATGACTAGATCTGACATTTGGTTTTTTTTTTTTGTTTGTTTTAAAGATACACTGAAAGAATGGCATGCCTGACTCCAGAGCCTGAAATATCACTGAAAGACTCCAAAGCATGCAGATTATATAGACCTGATGCTTTGTGCACTTTTAAATAGGAGCAGTTTAGCTCCAATGACTTGTCCTTTCCTGGTCAGGATTATTTCCAGCAACGAGCTCTGCTCCCAGAAAATCACACCAAGTAGGACAAAATTATATAGTTAAGTGCTCTCCAAATCTTCAAAGTCTCAACTCACAGAAGTGAAGTTTATTTTTAAGTACCTTGTTGAATAAAGTCAATCAGTTGTCAAACTTCTACCATGTATTTGCTCTGCTCTGTCTGTTAGGGACAGTGACCAAAGGCTCCTGTTTTGTGTTTGTTCTATATGAACCTTGGTCATGAGGGCCAGTTGTTTATGATCTGGGTCATCCATTCCACCCCTACCTGGAACCCCAGATTTCAAACCATTCAGTCAACCTTGTTGACCTGTCAGCCTCATTGACAGATCTCAACAACGACACTTCTGCCCATTCACTTCTGTGAGGTACGGCACTGGCATGCTGAGATGTTTGGAGATCACAGCAAATCATACTCAATGTAAAGAAATCATATCAGATCTAAAAATCATTTTAAATCTAAATAGATCATGGTCTAAGATTTTTGTGGTCACTGGACAATAGGCCATTTCTTTACATTTTTCCAATCTGTTTCTATCCTTGTTAAGGAGATATCATTTACTTTACATTTTATAAAGATGAGACTTTGAATTACTCAATTATTTTTTCCAATTAGGATGCTTACATTTTTTGTTACAAATATACTTGGAAAAAAAATTATATATTTTCCCAAATTTTAATAGCTTCATTTAGCCCTTGAAACAAATGTAAAACCACATCTCACACACTAATACCTACTGAAGCAAAAAATGTGACTATTAACAATGGAAATAGATTTAAGTCATACTTTTTTAATCTCCTCTACTTGATATGTACTTGGAATAACCATTATTAATGTTTCTAATAACCTTAAATACGATATTCAACAACTCTGCTCTCATTCATGTAAGTGCAATTCCAGAGAGGTCTTTGGCTTTCTTCCTGAGCAAAAGAGCACATTTCATTTTTAAACACTCTACTGAATGTCTTCCCAGAATTCCCAGCAGCCTACTTGCACCTTAATCATCAGCTCAGACATTACCTGCATCAGTGCCAACTGGGGTAAAACAGCTCGGTTGGAACAACAGTATTTCACACTCACCTGACACCACCACAAATCAGTGACACAAGATGAAAGACAAAGGCACATTCTTCATCTAGCCAGAATGCTAAGGTGGTGTAAGATGAGCTTTATTTCCCTTAATTCTACAGATCTGTGTTGAAATACACCAACTGACGGCCAACACAATTGGTCACTATGTCCTGAGCAGACACTAGGTGCCAGACCCCATGAAACAATGCAGTTCCTAAAAAATGTATCAGTCAACAGTCAGTAGCACTTGCCCCTACAGAAGGGTGTCAACCCTTCTCTGGAGGTTTAGGTCCAGTACCTGAGGAAGACTGTGAGAGACAGGAGTGGCAAGAAGAATCAGGTGAAATCTCTTCAGTGAGATCCTCATCTGAGATGTCCCTCAGCTCACTCTCACAGCTGCTGGCTGGGCTGCAGCCTTCATCCTCTTCCTCATCATCTGTAGCTAATTTTCCTGCTGGGATGACACTTTCTTGCTGAGCTATGTGCAGGCACCTGGACAACAGGAAGTGTTTCATCACTGAGTATAGCCTTGAGTTGAGAATATGCAGTAAGTGAAGTGGAGGCAAACAATGAGTCTATGGATTTAGCCACTTACAGTGCTTTGCCACTTACCTGCTGATATGCAGAATCATCCTAAAGGATCAGACATTGTGTCTGATCATCTGAAAGCGGTCCTTTCCCCATCCCACTGGCTTCCCAGCAGGGATGAGCCATCCCAATCTGCAGGGTGAGAAGGCAGAAGGCTATCCCACGGAACTGCCACCAGGTGGCCAAAGAGTTTGTTTTATCTTACAGCAGAAAACGAATCCCTGCTCTATTGCGTAACAAGAATTCTCCCACACTCTCACCGCCGCTTATGCTGCTCTCTCCACACTCTCGGCGCAGAGAAGACATCTTCCTGGCTCACATCTCCTCCTCCTACAGAGATGTCAGGGTTTTCTATCTTCAGACTGCACAGTTTCAAGGAGCTCGCTGCAGGTGGCTGAAAAATGACACAAGTAGCCTTGATGACCTCAGGAACTTCCGCCACACTGAACATCAGGGATCATAGAAGCTAACCCTATAAGCCAGACTGCACACCCTATGGGTGTTCTCTCACTCAGTTACTGGCCCTCTGACATGAACAAACTGACCTGTATGGCCACAGCACCGCTCCATCATTGAGAGCAACACACTTTGTATCTACTTAATCAACAGCAACCATCTCGTTGACTACGCCAACATCAAACCGCTGAAAAATCTTCTGCTAAATAGTTATTGTAGAAATGCCACCAAATATTGTCATTTTGACTTGGGCTTTGATTAGTAGGTTGACAAGAATGTGGGGCTTTGTGTCCATAGAAGAAAGTGAGCCACTCAAACCACAGTGCAAACTCAGTTTATCATAAGATTTATGCGGGCGACCAGGCAGGAACATGAAGTATACAGGAAAAACATACACCTAGCTTTAGCCTCCTTGCACGAAGGGCCTTGATGGGGTTCCCACATATGACTTGGCTGAGTCCTAAGAGAAAAGAAAAAAATAAATAAATCATTCCAGCATTTAGCGAATTGTGCTGTCTTTGAAATCAGTCAGCATCATTTCCTGCATACAAAGGGATGTAATATTTTATGGTGTAGGCTCACTGTGTTGCTCACATGGCTGACACTGATGCTAAGAGGCAGTTTCTCTGTTCCTCCCAGAATCTCTTTTTTCCTGCACCTGCCCTGCCTCCCCCACTGTGCTGGTACACACATTTGTGGGGCTAGATGGCGAGTAAGGGCAGGGAACAGATCCAGATTAAAACAGAATATAGATTTTGTTTTGTTTTGTCTTGCTGGGTCATTTTTCAGCTGATCTTGAGCAGAATCAGGTTCTCCATATGTCTGTGCAGATGCTCTTGTCAAAACAAGAGACAAGGCAGCAAAGGAGAGGAAGAAGCAGTGAGTATTCGGTGAAACGGTCACCATTAGTAGAGCTAGCACCTAAAAAGTGAAATTATGGTCTCATTCTCTGGCAAGCTGTACTCAGCTTCCATGCACTTTTCTGAATGTACACTCAGCTGTTAATGCCACACTGCTTCATCCCTATCATCTTCCTAACTCCTACCTACAGTCAGGAACTGAGGTGGGATTGGTGCCTGGGAGAGGCAACCATTGCTTCTTCCTATCTAGTCTGCCCTTTCAAAGATACTGGAATTGCAGAATCTAAGTCTCCCCAGAAGAACAAGGATGCAGCTGAGGAAGCATGAATGTCATTCATTCTGAATGACCCCAGGAAGCACAGGGCCCTCCATCCTCATCTCCATTTATCCTAACATTGTGGTGCTAACATAGTGGTGCTCCCATGTGGCAGAGCCAGGCTGTCAGGGCACAGCAAGGCATTGGCACAACTGAGGTTTGAACTTGCCTGTACATCAGGTATGTGAAACCAAGGAACTGAATCTTTTTATTGATCCAACCCTGGAAACCCAAAAGGACGGGGTCACTGATCACAGAATGGCTTAGGTTGGAATGGACTCTAAAGATTATTGAGCTCCAACCTCAACGCCATGGGCAGAGCTGCCACCCATCAAAACAGGCCGCTCAGGGCCCCTTCCAACCTGGCCTTCAATGCCTCCAGGGATGGGGCATCCACAGCTTTCCTGTGCAAGTAGAAATGATATATCAAGTGGTTTTTGATAATAGTTATCCTGCTGCAGTATGAGTCTGCAGAACACATACTACACCTTCCAGTACATAATCCACGGGGGAGCCAATGTGCATCAGAATGCCTGTCTAGAGAACTAGGCTGTGTGGATGATATTACAAAGATTGAACAAGATGAGTTCAAGTGTCTTCATGTAAGCTGAGCCTGATGTAGCAGTGGCATAGTTGGGTGTTATTCAAAGCATCCAGGTTTTCATCAGCAATAGTAATATCCAGAAGCAGGTGGAGGTGAGGGAAAGAACAAGATTAAAAAATTACATTACCATGTGTCAAATCACTGGAGTCATCTGGAAACAGGTCCTCAGAAATAGTGGGATCTGGAAGAGGAGAGCTGTTGTACAACAGACGAGAATTGCTCCACCTTTCTGCACTAGCAGTCCATTGTGCAGTTCCAAGTCTGGAAGTTGTAAGAGGTCTTGGGCTGGATCCAGGCTGCCTTGCCATTGCACATGGATCTAAGAGAGAAGTTTTACCAGTGTAAGCACAGTGGCTGTAAACACACCATCACAAACTGGTGGTTACAGCCACTTTACCAGTTATCAACTAGGGCAAACCACATACACGAGTTATGGAAACCTGGGAACTGTAGTAATAGATTTTTCCAGACAGATAATTCTCACACCAGAAAGAAATGTGATAATTGAGTTTCATAGTGGTACAGAATAGGATGAATTAAACAAAAGCTAATGGAGGCAGACAGAGCTTTGAACTCCTACCTGCTCAAATGCCTGCTGTCCAAGGAGCAGAGCAAGGCTGTGCCAGTAACACGTGCAGCTACCAGTTTGTAGGAGGGCAAATTTCATTTCAATGCCTAGATGAATAGCTTGCACTTTAGAGTACTGAGCATCTAGCAGCTCTACAGTGGAGCAATTGGCAGTGTAATAACATAGTCATTTCATTAAGAGCTGAGTGTTAGAGACCTTCAAGTTATCTTGGCTGTAGTTGTTCCTAAAGAACCATGAAACACACAGTAGATGCAGAGAAAGTATTGCAATAGGAAAGAAGAAAGCATGGGGATGTTTTCTTCCTTCATATGAAACTTACCAGTTTATAGCCAAGGCAAAAATATAACTCTAGCTACACTAGAGAACAAAACAAACTCTAGTTTTGTGCACATTCCACACAGTTTCCCTCAGTCCACACTGTTAAATAGTCTTCTGAACCACAGTTGATCCTGCCAAATGGGGATCACTGAGGGATCAGATTTTAATGGATTTTTTCATTACCATAGCTACTACTACATCTAATGATCTGGATCCGCAGGGATTAAATAAATGACAAACGTATGTATTTATTCCAAAACAAACTAAATTTTTAATGGAGTATAGTTGGCAGGCAAATTGCAGCGGTGGGGGTCAGGAAGTCAACGACATTGCCCGCGTTAATGGGAAGCAACAGGAGCAGTTATAGGAAATACTTTGTAATATTTAATGGAATGTGGTAAAGCGCATGTAGCACGATATGTAAGAGCACAGACATTTGAACTATAACCAAGGCTATGAACAAGGGGACAAAAGATTTATTTTCCACCCATTTACTCTATCCTAATGAATGTAATGGACTTAATCATGGAGAAAAAGAAAGTGGAATTGAGGTATTTCAAGATCGTGCAGCTCAGTTGCTAGGAATCCGCTGCCATTAGGAAGTGGTGACCAAACTGCCTTTGCTATTATCACACTGGAGTAGAAAATCCTGCTACTTCCATGCAACATGGGATTGATTCCTACCATAGAAAGAAAATGCTGAGAGCAGCTGTTGTTGAAGCAGCTTCCAAACTTTGCTTCTTCTAATCACACAGAAAGAATACTAAGCATAGGCTCCCAGCTACTGCTGGATTTACTTGATGCTTTACAAGTCGTTTGCAGTTCTCTGATTTTGGTGGTCAGCACTGAACAGCTTTCATTTAAATTTGCAGCATGCTGAATTCCAGCTTCCCCATTTCCCATGTGAAGACGACCAAGTCCTTTGTCACTTCTCTGCAATTAAGCTTTGGCTCTGAAGAAGCCAGCTAGCTCTTTGGCTTTCCTTTTCACACTTCATAACCTGAAAAATGAACCCTGATGGGAAATCTGACGTACCTAACCATGAAATGTCTCTGGGCAAACCACCCTCCTTGATGGATTCCTTGATGATTAGCCAGTCCTCATTCATCTTATTGGAAGGAGGGACAGAAGTCTGGCTTGCTGGTATTCCATCCAAATACTCCAGGTGGGGAATGAGTTTTTTCACTTCAGCTCTGTAATTGTAATCTAGTTCCTGGAGAAATTGAGAAAGTGATCACTTGACAGTTTGTTTAACAGACTGTGGACTTCCATCAGCAGCAAAACAATGTTCAATTTCTATTACTGCCATATACTTTGAAATGCCTCTTTGAAGTAAACCCATTTGCCTTATCCAACAGAAATAAATAACATCAGGAGTTACCTTTCACTGTTTTCTACTCAAATAATTTCTATTGGAATTATTCACGAGCACATTCTGAATACAAGCACATTCCCCCGTCCATGGCCCCTCTGCTGTTCATCTGCTGATGACTTAGAATTTTATCTTCATTATGCTATGTATACTGTACAGAAGTGAAGGCATCCACCTGATGTCCACAGAAAGCCTGGGCATCCTCAGCATTTGCCCAACCTCTCCCCCTGGTTTTGTGAATCTCTGGTTGCCACATCAACAGTAAGGTGATATAGCCAGACTGAAAATACATTACGAGCGCAGCTACGCTTGGTAATGGATGAAGGCACAGCTATAAACAAGCTGCAATGAATGAGCTGCATTGATTTTCTGGGGCAGTCTTCAGGGTATTCGCGTGTGATTTTACACATCATTAGAAGAGATGACTTATTTCAAACTATGCTATCTTCTGCAGGAGGTTGCATGCCAACAGCAGGTGCACAAGAGACTAAAATTGACTGCTTTGGGATTTCATTTCCATGCACTGAAAGAACAACACTATCACTCCTGACATACATGGTCTCACTGACAAGCAGTGGGGAAAGCATTGATGCAGCCCCCTTCTGTACATGCAGGTGGAGCTGACCATGAATAAAATAATTTGTGAACCCATGCCAAGGTCTGGGACCTCTAGGCAACAAAACAATCCAGAGCAGTTATGACTGGACACTGTGAACTAGTCCATTTTGGTGGATTCCAGACATTTCCACATAGCACTTTCATTTTTGGGAAAGTTTAGCAATATCTCAGGGCAGTGGGGCATTCAGCTTTGCAATCACAGAATGGCTTGGGTTGGAAGGAACCTCAAGGATCATCAAGCTTCAACCTCCTTGCTGCATGGAGGGCCACCAACTTCCATATCTAATACTAGACCAGGCTGCCCAGGAATGTAACAGAAATACTGCAATGGGAAGTAGTCTTGGATAACAAATGGAAGTAAAAAGTGGTGGTGATCTCATATGCTTCCTTTGACTTCAATAAGTATAAAACAAGAGCGCATTGCTAGTGGCAGAAAATGCATAGGTGGTTTCCCCGAGACAGATCAGCCACCTGTAAATGAATTGCTTGATGCAGATTGATGTCGTGCTTTCCAGGACATTACAAGCAGCGTTAGAAAATCTCACAGAGCTGTCATGAACAGAAACCTTTTGGCTATAGCTGGATGGCTGTACACTCCCTCCCTCCACACAGCACAGCGGCAAGGCTGGCAGAGGGAGCTCACCAAATAAAGCGTGTAATTGTTGTTGTTAAGGGGCAGACACCACACTCCTCCAACTGAGCCTTTCATCTTAATTTAGAAAATGAGTCAACCAATCACCATGCTACCACGTACCGCATGTGCTCTGAGCAGAGCCTGGGCTGCAGCCAATCTGCAGCCATGTCCTGCTTAAGCAGAGCATCATGTTACGCTCATGGTACATTACTGCAAGAGAGGCTGCAACATTTATCATTGGGTTGTTGCTGTTGGTTTAGATAACAGAGGAAGATGAGCTCATCTGAAAATCAAATTACAGAGAGCGAGCAGGCAGTATGAACAAAGAGCAGTAAATCTAGCTGGGCCATTCCATACGTTGGAAACAAATAAATGGGAGAGCTTTTACAGGGCTACAGCAAAGCCACACAACAAGGAGATTGAGGAATCAGAACCCATATCTCACTCTTTTCTGTATTTCAGGTGATTGTCCATCAGGAGCAGGCAGTGCTTCCTTACTGTCAGAATATTTGGGTTTTTCTCTCACAATTACATCTTCAGCAAGAGAGGAATGTTGATAGAGAAATCACTGTGAATATAAACAGCTGCAAGAGTGGTCTCTGAAGTACACTCCTAACAGCTCAAAGCAGAAAATGAGTATATAACACTGTGTTTTGGATTCCAGAGAGGAAAATCATGATAACTAAAGCACTACCTTTTGCTGCTGCTTTTATTGAGGGATACAATCAAACCAATAATTTCAGCTCAGAAACTCTTGCATCTTAAAAATGTGGAGATGCAAAATATCCACTACATTATTGAGTTTCACCTATAACACCTCAGTTTTCAGGACCAAGTCCAGGACAAGTAACAAATCGATCTTTTCATGAAAATTAGTGGTATGGATATGACCTCTTTGAAACACACTGATGAAAACACACTTTGAAACACACCCCTGAAACCCAAGGCAGATCACGTATTGCTTTATCATCATCTCTGCGACACAAAGAATCTGCTGCACTTACCAGAATACCTTTTCAGAACTGATTTTATCATTTCAGTATGTAACAGATGTACCTCCAGCTTTTACAAAGGTCTTTCTGGTCATTGCATTTTAGCTCTTTCAGGGAAAGGACAACAAGCAATTTCTACAATTCAGCTTTTGCTAGTTTCTTCAAGCATCCACTCCAACTTTTGAGAACGGTGATTCCGAAGAAACTGTTGTTGGACAGGTGATCCTCCAAAAAAATACAAAAGCCTAAAGAATGCTATCTAACTGAGAAATTTCAGTTGGCACATCCCATAAGAGAAACATTAGCTACTTTCTAACTGGCTGTAAAAAGCCCTGACAAGTTGGAAGGATCCATGCAGCTGAGGTCCATGCTCTCATTGGTCCTCCTTTAAGACTTCATATCACACAGTTGAGTCCTAAGACGATTTCTAGTTTAATCCCATTCTCACAGGTAGGAACTCCCACACTGACAGGGAACAGGCCTGACTCCTGACCAGAACTCCTTGTATGTCATTTGTGCTTATGTGAGACACAACATTCACAAGAGGACAAAATCTACACAAACAAAACATGGGAAATGTGTCCCACATCATCGCTCAGATTAATACAATTGAAAGACAAATTTCTCATTTGCAACACATGTTTTAAAAGCACTACAAAAAATTAACATAATCTGTACAAACCATGCTCTCACCTCTGCAGATTCTGCATTTGGTTTTAGACAAATAAGGTTGCCCTGCACTGTCAGGCTGCTCAGTTTGCAGCAAAGCCCTAGGTATTGCATCTGGTTGATGTCCTCAATATTGTTTCCTTCCAGGTCCAAAACCTCAAGGTGATCCAAAAAGCTCAGTGGGCACAGGTCTGAGATTTTGTTGTAGGCTATGTAGAGTTCCTCAGCAGAAGGAAACAGAAATATTAACAGGTTCACATTAGTAACACTCAGTATTTGCAAAACAAAGACTACAATTAAAGAGAAAATATCAAGCGAAGATAGATATCAAATCCTTTTTTGGCAGGACACATGGATACTTACTTTTAGAGAGCTGCAGGCAGAGATTCCATCCAAATCCAAGAGCCCACAGCAAGCCATCCACAGCACGTGGAGATGGGACAAGGTGGTTCCGAGATCCCTTATGAAAGAAATCATGGAAGCTCTATTTGAATGGACAAAGGAACTTCTTTTCCCTAGAATTAGGTCCTTGCTACTTTCTTCAAAACACATTTTTCACAAGAAATGACATTAAAAATGTCACCTTCAAAGATGGAAATGCAATTATAATGCAAGCTTTTCCTCCACAGAGATCCTTGCTCTTATGTGCCAACATGCCTCTCCAGTTCTGCTTGAAAAAGATTCTTCCAAGAGCTGCGTCAGGGTAGTTCTTTCATAAATTGCACCTACGTGCTAAGAACTGAGTGAGGATTATTTATGCTGGCACCATTTACTCTACACATATAAACCCAAACTAACATATTTAGACTGACTCACAGTCATCTTACTCTGTAATTCCATTGAGTTACCTCCTTTGTGTTTTTGCAATTGAAAGGAATGGCACTCTCAGCAGATAACATTTTTTTCCAATCCGCAGAAAATTAGAATTTGTTCCATCCAATTTGCTCACTTCGTAGCTCCAGCAAAATGTAGAAAATGAACGATTTGTATGAACTCCAAACTTTCCAGTCCTATTCCAGAGAATCATATACTGACCTGCTTACCTCCATGTATGTGGAATGTCCATACTGTATCACAATAGTGTCAGCGTAGAAAAAGGCACCACAAAATTCAAAAGAAGTGGCAAATCAACATGGGGAACTGAGAGCACCTTCTGTCTTTGGTAACATTAAGTTGCATGAAGCCATTACTAAATTAAAAATAAATAAATAAAATGCATTGCCTTATTAAATCCCAAGCCAACCCAAAAAAGCCCAGAATTCTTTCCCATAGCTTTGATACCAGACTATCTGTATTATAAAGAACAAATTAATTGAAGTGAGCAACCAAACACAGAGGCAGATAAACTTATCAGAGGAGGCAGAGGCTCAACTGGAGTTCCTACAGAGAGGCTCTTGGACTTCAAAATTGTGGATTAGTGATCTTTTATAATATATACATTAATGCATTTTCTAGGGAAAAATTGCAGAAGATAAAAGAATATGGTCACAGGGTCTCTTCTCATCTTGGAGTACACATAACAGCTTGCTTATTTGTGCCTTATCTCTGTGGGCCATGGGGAAAAAGAACAGCTTTGCGCTGCCCTCAGAGAACTTCATGTGGCTTTGATGCAGATTTGCAGTAAAAGAGATCACAGCAAATTGCATGCTCCAGGGCTGCTGCACACCCAGTCAGCCCACTGGCTCAGGAGTGCTTTCACAAGTGGGACTGAGGTATCAGTATCTGTGCTTTTTTTTTTTTGGTTATTTTTCCACTGCCTGAACACTTGGGACAAGCCATGGCAAGACAAAATGGTCAAAGCAAAGCAAGTCAGAAAAATCTCTGTCAAATGACATCTCTCTCTGTCAAAGGCTGGTCCTTGTATGTCATCGCATCTCCAGACCTTGTAAAAGAGCTTCCAGAGACTATTTGCTTATTTCATAAATAGAGCAAAGAGTCGTCCCAAGGCTTCCTTAAGGAACAGATGCCTTCCAAAGCAATAGTTACAGAAATTTATTATTAGATTTGTAAGCTGCGTGCCCATAATAAGAAAGAAATTAAATTAAATGTAAAAGCAGAACCTACCATCAGCCAAGGCCAATACACCAGTAGGCTCAAATATAGCAGGCACCAGTAATGCAAAGGAAATATATTGCTCACTTCACGGCCCACTTAGCGTGCCAACCAGTTTTTCACTTTTCAGGCTAATTTTGGTACAGAATCACCTTTTCTGTAAGCCAATGGACACAAGTCAATGAGAGTGGTCATCCCCGTTGTCACACTGCTGAAGCAAGTGCTTCTGATGAACACTATTTATTGGCCCACAGAAAGTGAGGACAATCCTAATGTGATTCCCTTAAACATGGCATGGTATGATTCACGATTTCAAATTGTCTTGTACTTCTTACCTAATAGCATTTTGCCACAAAAGGAGTTTTTGATAGTATGTTTGTTGTTATTGTTTTTCTTTTTGTTAATACACAGGATGGCAAAACAAAGCCATCTGCTCATTTTCAAGTGGCTTTACACAAAGCCCTGAGAAGAAACAGCCATCCCTTCTCCTGCTAAAATACATTTGGAAGCAGCAGTCCTTGCTCCTACCCAGAGGTCAAGTGGTCCCAGAGTTAAATCATATCTTCCCCCATGTGTGAATTGGACAGTTATGGTTTTCAATTCCAAAGCTGGCTTCAACTGAATAAGTACACATGAACGTGACCAGCTCCTGCTCACACTGCCTACAGAGTCATGCACAGCCCTGTATTCACTGTGAATTATGAGCTAACGCATCTCCAGGCATTCTCCTGGCTGCTGGAGGGGTGAACTTTTTGGGTCACAGTCAAATATTGGCCCTGCAGCTCTTTACTCCCGCATCCACAGTGAGTGATCTTCAGTCTGAGACATGACTGCAACAAAGCACACCTGCAAATATTTTATTTGGTAACTAACAAAAGGCTCATCTGGAAGCTGTGTCAATCTCACTGCAATATCAGAAGAACTCCCTCATTAATTACTGCACAGATGATCCCTCCTGAGAGTACGGCTGCTGTAAGACTGCAGGGTTAAACAGCAGCGTAGCTTGGAGCAAGCAGCTCCCAGTAGACAACTGCATGCACCTGCACTTCTGAAAACACTTCTGAAATATTCTGGCTGGTGGGAGGAGAACTTCAGAGCATTCAAGAGAAGGGAGTGCCTCCTCTGGGCCTAGCTTCATCTGGCACGTACAGCTTCCAAGGGTCAGGGCAACGTGGGTCTGTAAGCATGCATAGGATCTTAAAAGGTTGGAAAAGACCTCTAAAATCATCTAGTCCAACCATCAGTCCAACCACACTGTTCCCACTGGCCACATCTCTCAGTGCCACATCTTCACAGCTCTTCAACACTTCCAAGGTGGTCTTCCACCACTCCCCTAGGCAGCCTGTGCCACTGCATCACCTCTCTTTCTGAGAAGAAATGTTTCCCAATAGCCAACCTGAACCTCCTCTGGCACAACTTCAGGCCATTACCTCACTGTGTGCATGCAAGGGTGCTGTGCAAACAACTAACAGATAGAAGGAACCAGAGGACACTACCGAGGAAACATAGCTCCATTAATATATACATCAGTTAATTCAGTTCTGGTAGACAAGTGTCCTATGCTCTGTGATGTGGAAGCTGGTAACTTCACAGGAAGGGCAAGGAATTAAGGAGCAAAGCAGCTATAAATTTTGCACTGGTTTGTATGGGTCAGGTCTAATGCAGAAAGACAGAGCACAGGGTGAGAATGCGTGCATCATCACTCTGATGGTGACGACAAACAGGATTACAGCCTCTGAGGTCACACAAAAGAAAGTCCTCTGGACTAATTACCCCACCAACATAACTGAACATATGCAGAACACCCAAACACATTTTTAGCACCTAAAAGTGCTAGGAAACCAACATAGACTTTCCTAGTTTCATTGTAACACCACAAACTGACATATATTCATATACAACTTTTTTCTCCCCCCAGGAAAATGAATAAACAGAAGGGTTTGAAAGCTCCAGACACTGCTGCAGGGAATGGAACTCACTGAACAGCTCTGTGTTCAGTGAGGGTCTTGGCAGCACCCTCTCACTTGTGCACAACCATTCAAAATTTTTCCCATGAAATGTGATGCTCCCATCTTGTCATCACTCCCCAAAGCTTGGGGAAGAGTGCAGGGGCAAGGAACGGTTTGGCTCACAACACCTAATAATAGTTTGAGAAATAATAACATGTTCTTCCATTAATCCAGCCTCCTTGTTCTTCAGGGATTGACTCGTTTGAGCCAAAATTCTGCTGGATGAAGACCAGACCTACAGAGCCAAATCCTGCTCTTGGTTTCACTACAATAAATCTTGGGTAGCTCCACTGAGCTCAAACTACACAGTAAACACAACAGCACAGCCCTAACAGAGCCCAGTCCTGCACATCCATCAGCTTCAAGATCATCGTTTCTTTTGGAAATTGCTTTAGAATCATCCACCTATAAATAAAACACTAAATCCACTGAACTTGCAAACAATACTTGAAAGCACACACACATCTGTGAAATAAATCTGCAGTAGCAATATATCTGAAATTGGGCTTGATGCTGGTATTTATTTTTAAAGGTCATTTAAAGTGAACATGCCGGTGACCGGAGGGAATCTGAATTTAAGAGTGACTGAGCTAATGTCTTATAAAGTAAAGAAAGAAAACCACTGATCTACAGAGATCAAGCTGAACTTAGCAAGCCATACAGCAACGACAACGATCCAGTCCATATGTCAGTACACAATGATTCTGTTGTACTGATAATTCTGACATCAGAAGCAAAAACTTTTAAGGCCTATTTATATTATTTAAATCAGTAACACATGTTCCAATAGGAAGCTTACAAATAGTTTCATTGTACTCTCAAATAGCTGTAAAGCATTCAGAATTATAAAACTAATTGTATGCACGTGTTGCCCTTGATCAAATCCATGACACACCCCAACCCTGCAAGCAATGCTAAGGCAATGTCCTCATGCCCCTTGCAGTGTCCTTTTGCTATCAAGTCCAACTTTGCCTTTGAATGCAAAGAGCTGGCTGCAGAGAGATGCTTCACAGTACTGCAGCCTTGCTTGGTTACGTACCCACTCCAAAATTCAAGTAGCAAGATGCTGCAGCTGCTGGCTTGGATGCTCTGTTTTGCACCTCGCAGCCACTGTACTCAGGTGGCGGTAGGGTGCCTCTGTTGTCCCATTTTTGGGGGCAGCCTGGCAGTATCTCAGAGTTTTATTTCAATTTTTTGTTTGTTTACTTGTTTATTAAAAAAATAATTTGAACTCTCGGGTGAGAGACAGGAGATGACAACAGAGGGCAACCCAGCTGCTGAGCCACATAACCAGCCCATTGCTGTCATGCTGCTTGGGGCACTTCATACATTATTGCCTCTTCTCACTGGCTCACTGAATTCATCATAGCAACTTGAAAGCCCTTCGTTCTCCATGTCA